AGTAGTGCTAGCTCACATATAGCCTCGCCAGAATTGCTCTCTAGATTTCTGAACAAATAAGACGCGAACTGCTTCAGGCTCACATTTGATTTAGTCCTCTTCGCTGAAGGCTCAGACTGCACCAAAGCAATATGATAGTGACATGTGAGATCCCATAAAGTCTCATAGCGGTCGGGCATACGGTCCTTCAGCTGACTCAATTCATGGTTGGAAGGAAAGTACTCCTGATATAACATCTGACCCATGGGCAAACCAGAAATCTTGTGCATCTCATGGAGAGCCAAGCCCAACTCCCCGTGCCTAGTCAGAAAAGTGTTCGAATCCGGGTTATAGAGCTCACACAAAACGAAGAAATGCTTCACGCTGACAGGCAAGCCATACATGGAGGCACGAATAGCTGCGTATAGACCACAAGCGTGCAACTCCTCGCTCCATCGGCTTAAGACGTATTTCGTCATGCGAGTCCACCAAAGCTTGTCTAAAGAATAGACCCAGCCATAAAATCTATGATGCGTCGCAGGCATTTCCCGTCCTAAGTCAACGAGGCGATTCCTCAAAGTAGAGGCAGAGGCAAGAAACTCGTTATGTGGCGGTGCATCTAGTCCCAGTACTCCAGGACGCAATCCAATGATGTGATTCCTGCTCGAACTAGGAACTTCCTGATGAGTGATATAGCCACAGTGAACGCTCTCATGCTCCTCCGTCAAGCGCCACGACATCTCCCGCTCTCATGCTCCTCCGTCAAGCGCCACGACATCTCCCGTTTAGCAGCCTGACGCCTAAGCTCAGTCAATGAGCGGTGTTGAGGAATCTTCGGCAAATATATGAAACCACCGCTATTCTTATGAAGCCACTGCTCGGCATCAATGAACACTGCATCAGGATCTCTAACAGAATCGCCAAACAAAAAGTCAGTCTTCCTGAGAGACTGAACAGAACTGGCATCCTTCACGAAAGGCGCATCTGTAATCAACTGTCGAAGAGCTCGATGTCCACCTTCCTTCACCACTTGGGCAACCTCTATCGACGTGCCCGGAACAAACTGAAGAGTAAGTGGAATGGGTGAAAAATCATCGGACGTCGAGTAATACTCGGAACAAACTGAAGAGTAAGTGGAATGGGTGAAAAATCATCGGACGTCGAGTAATACTCGTCACGACGCCCGTTCACCGCATGAGATAAAAATGCTCCGGAAGGATACTCCACTGAAAACAAGCAATTAAGCGTTTGTTAATTTCAGTTATAAAAGGAAATTGAACTCATCTTACAAATGGGTAAGATAGAGTTATTGCCTTATAAAGGGTGAGACGATTTGACCACATTGTGCATTCATAAGATAGGGTATATCGACAATATATCCCTGCCTTAAAAAGCACAATGCAGCTTCAAATCGCCCCCCTTTATTTTGAGATATGGTTTTGACCAAGCAAAACCTATCTTTAAAGCGTCGATCCTCACCAAGGAGAATCAAGGCTCTTCCCGATTGCCTCACCAAGGAGAACAACGTGGGGGAAATGACTATTTTGCAAATTTCTAGAAAAAAGGACTAATTTGTAAATTTCTAAATATACTAAAAAGAGCTCACCAGCATATGAGGGAAGCACGTCGTCAGCCGACGCAGCAGGGGAACGACCTCTTGGGACACGCGACATGATGATCTGCGAAATAAATCAGGGGGTCAGGTCCAGAAAAAATTTCCCTTTTATTACAATTCTACCCCCCTGAAAGATGAGCTCGATGCGCCAAATCATAATCCTAACCCTCATATGCAATCCCACAAATTCATATACTGAATTAAATATGAGATAAGCCAAAATTGTGGAGGATTTACCTGAGGAAAAGCTCGTGGATCCAATAAAAATCAGATCTTGAAAGAGGCTCGAACCACGTGCTCGAGGGGCCTGAGAGAAATTTTTATATGAAGATTTCTGAGGGATTTCTCAGTCAAAGATCAAAAGGAAGGATGGATCTAAGACAATTATGAAGATTTGAGGGAGAAAGGATGCTCGAGGGAAGAGAAAAGCAAAAAAGAAGGGGAGAGGGTGGTCGGCCCTAGAGAGGAGGAAAAGAGAGGCTTTTATAGGTGAACCAGCCTTGAACCAGATCGGACCAGGTTGAACCAGACCAGACCAGTCTAAATCAGTTCAAAAGAGGCTGAACCAGGCCAAACCAGGCTGAACCAGGTCAAACCAGACTGAACCAGACCAGACCAGGATGAACCAGTCTGAACCAGTCTTGAACCAGTCCTAAACCAGCCTTAAACCAGGTTAAACCAGTCTTGAACCAAGTTGAACCAGTTTAAACCAGATTTGAACCAGAATTCAAATTGAAACTGAACCGAGCATCGAAACAACTTCAAATCGACCGAGGGTTCAGTCCTTTGTTTATTCTTTCCTCTCCCCCACATTCGGAAGGGTCGGAAGATTTTTTTTTTTTTTTTTTGAGCACTCCGAAAAGTATACGAGTATAAACTGCTCCGTAATACTCCAATGAGGTATACGAGTATAAACTATTTTCTATTTTTGGTTGAGAAGTTTCTGGAGAATATTTTTCTAAAAATATTCTTAAGGATAACTCAACAACACTACGCCGGACAACGCGTCGCAAATAAAGACTCAACGTCAACAATCGATGGTCAGTTCTATGTTAAACCAACAAACACGAGCTAAAGATCAGAAAATCAGGAATCGACTTCAAGTTCGAAATTCTGATAACGGTCAGATAATAAATGCAGCACCGGAACCCTTACAGACATTCGACAAAGCACCGAATAGCCTGAAGAATTGAAGGAATCAAGAACAGAAGCCATTCAAAAGTCCTGTCATACCGATTGAAGGTTGGGATAATCATATCCAAAGTATTCCAGACTCTCCTATAAAAGAACGAGGCTGAAATACTTTGGAGGGGGTATCTGTGGGCGTATAAAACTGCCTATAGGTCCCTGAACACAGCTCGGCACGGTGATTCGACAAACCAACGAACCATCGAGTGACATATCTAAACACGAGCGTCAGTCCACAACGCCGAAGCTAAGTGACACGCAACGAAGCGGATTAACGAGGCGACGAGGTTTAACGAATCGCACGCAAGCAACGGAATGCATCCATTCGCGTGCAGAATCAAACCAACGGTTCGGGGAGTCAACGAGTCACCCAACCATAGAACGGATTCGAACTCAAACACCAAGGCGGATTTACTGCCAAATCGGGATCCGGACTTCCAAATCAGAGTTCAGATCAACGACGAGGCGGATTTACTGCCAAATCAGGATCCGGACACCAAATCAGAGTCCAGATCAACAGTAAAACTTGGATAAACCGCGAAACCGGACAACGGATGCAACGGCAAACACTCGGCCAAAAACCAAGCCACCCAAGGGTGGCTCGGTGGCCGAGCCACCCAAGGGTGGCTCGGCGGCCTCGGTGGCCGAGCCACCCAGGGGTGGCCGAGCCACCGAGCCACACTCAGATCTGGGCCCAGATCCGCTTTCAGAGGATATAAATAGAGGGTTATGGGCTCATTTGTGAAGGGTTGGAACTTTTGGAGGCGAAGCTCTGCTGGATTGAGAATTGGACTTGACCTTTCGAAGCTTTGAAGACTTGACTTCCAGATCTGGTTCTTGGCGAGCATCCATGTCAGAAAAGGCAGGAGTTCGAGAGAAGAAGATCAGATCTGAGATCCACGCGGTAATACTCCGGATCAAAGCTTAGCCTTTGATCCCGAGAAGGCTATTATTTCCTTGGTGAAATAGTACCCCCCGACTGTTATTTCCTTCGTGAGATAACACCCATTATACCGTGTAGATCCGACCGGATCTAGATCACGCGGTGGTCAACGGATTAACCCCAGCGCAGGCGAAGAACCCACAAAAGCGAGTGACCGCAAAACAGGAGCTCGTGATTCGTTCGACATACAAGGAAAAAATTGTAATTTTTATTTTCTTTTGATCTCGTTGTAACCGGATCTTATAAAAAGACCGGATCTCTGTGTAATCGATAAACAATTGCCAAAGAGCACAATGACTTCAATGAAAGCTACGATTTTTCCCGCGAACAGAGTTCTCCTATTTTTAAGGATGAGATCAAACAAGCATTATTCTCAATGTCTGATAGTAAGGCTCCTAGGCCTGATGGGTTCAATGCTTATTTCTTTAAAACTGTATGGAGTGCCATCAGTGAGGATCTTTTCTTAGCAGTGGAGGAATTATTTCACTCAGGTACACTTTTGGGTTCCCTTAATAGCACATCTATTACTCTTGTTCCCAAGGTTCTTAATCCTATGTCAGCTACTGATTTTCAGCCTATATCCTACTGCAATGTCATCTATAAGATCATTTCTAAAGTTATTGCCAGTAGGATGCAAAAAATTATGGGCTATCTGATTAATGATGCACGGTGTGCTTTTGTAAAAGGGAGGCTCATATCTAGTAACTTCTTGTTGGCTCATGATCTTATTAAACACTATGGAAGGAAAAATAACTCCCCAAGAGCTATTCTGAATGTTGATTTAAGGAAGGCTTTTGACACTATTAGCTGTGATTTCATAAGGAGTATGTTGATTGGATTAGGCTTTCCTAATAACATGGTTTGCTGGATCATGGAGTGTATCTCCACTCCTAAATTCTCCTTATCTTTAAATGGTGGTCTGCATGGCTATTTCCATAGCGCGAGAGATTAAGATAAGGGGATCCACTTTCCCCCTATCTTTTTGTCATTGGGATGGAATTCTTAAGTGCTCTAAAGGTTGATACCTCTTTCAAATTCCACCCAAAATGCATCAGATTGAAGATTAATCATCTGATTTTTGCTGATGATTTGTTACTATTATGCAAAGCTGACATGAGGTCTATTGAGAAAAATTTTACATGCCTCTAAGAGTTTGGACAAGCTTCAGGTTTGGAAGATAATTCCAGTAAGTGCTTTGTTTATCTGAGTGGGGTAAATAATAATCTCAAAGCTCAGATATGCAACTATCTAAAATTTTCTAAGGGTGTGCTACCTATGAAATATCTGGGGTTGCCTCTGAATGCAAAAAGGCTCTCATATATTGATTGTTCTAGCCTTATTGGAAAAATCAATAACCAATTTCAATCCTGGCAACAAAAGAGATGCCTGACTTATGCTGGTAGACTTGAACTGATTAAGTCTGTTATATTGGGCATTCAAACTTATTGGCTTAGCAATTACATTCTGCCAATGAAAGGTTTAGAGAAAATTGACAGAATGTGTTCTGAATTTCTGTGGGGACATAAATTCCACTTGGTGAACTGGGAATCTGTCTGCCAAAGGAAAGAACAAGGAGGTTTGGGGATCTTTTCATCCAAGTTATGGAACTATGCTGGTGCTACAAAGCTCCTGTGGATGATTTATCTAAAAAAAGACCTCCTATGGATCAAGTGGATCCATGGAAACTATCTAAAAAATCAAAGTATCTGGGTTGTCCAATCTAAGGTAAATGATTCATGGATGTGGAGGCAGCTTCTAAAAGTGAGAGATATGTTGCTGCAAAAGTTTGGGAATACTGATAATATAAAGAATACCTTGTCTGAACGTTGCACTGATGATAAGCTTCAGTTATCTGCAGTATATAAGGCTCTTGTCCAGCCTGCTAATGTAGTTGTCTGGGCAAAAACTGTTTGGGATGGTTTCCTATATCCTAAACATTCTTTCATATTTTGGCTAGCTTGTCATTCAAGACTCCTCACCAAGGATAGATTGTGCCGAATGGGTATACTGAGCACAAATCAGAATCATTGTGTCTTGTGTAATGGACATCACTTGGAGACAAGAGATCATGTTTTCTTTGAATGCCAATTTTCAGCTGCTGTCAGGAACATGGTAATGGACTGGTTGAGGTATAGATGGAGGTCTTGTGTATAAAAATTGATATTGAACTGGTACTCTCACAATTTAAGAGGTCAGGAACCTATGAAGAAATTGAAGAGGATGTGTCTCTCCATTGCAGTTTATATGATCTGGAAAGAGAGGAATCAGAGAATTTTTCAAGCTAAAGAGAGGCACCCTGCTCAGATTTTTAGAGATATTAAACTTACAGTTTTTTCAAAGGTTCAAAATAAGAGTATACATGTACATATGAAAGAGATACTTGAGTCCTTGTAATTTTTCTTTTGGTTTTCCAGGTTTTTCCCGGTACATTAATGTTCTTCAATATGTTTCAATTTGGGAAATGAATAAAATTTCAGTTCATTGACAAAAAAAAACATGTATTCAGATACGTATACAAATATTTCACTACAAAACCATATCCGTAACCATATCCTATCGGCTATAGATTTGAGTAACCATTGAGTAACCATATCCGTACCCTAACGGATACGGTTACAGATATTTCCTTAGATACGGATACGGTTTAGCACCCCTAGTTATATCTATCCCTTATTCTCCCAAAATCATTAACAATTGCTTGAACCCGTTAACAAATAGGATCCAAACGCAAACTCATTAACCAATTAATTCATCATCTTTCCCATAAACAGTCCCTGTCTCACAGCTCTCTTTCAACCAAAGAACATACACACACAAAAACTTACCACCAAAAGCCATTGAATGCAGTTCAACTGAAGCCAAAGCGATGGAGATTCTGTAGTTATTGTTCTCCAAGCTTGACGCTTTGGGCTTTTTCTTACTAGATTTGATAGATGATTAGAAAGAGAAGAGGGGGGGGGGGACCTTTNGGGGGGGAAACCTTTTCTCTCATCAAAGCGGGAAATGTCAGAGGGAGGGAGAAGATGAAGGGTCTTGAGGGGGGAATTAAATCCTAAGGGAAAAATTGTAAATGCACATCCCTGATAACTCTTAACTCAATCCTAGTTAAACCATTTGAATAGGAAAAATTCTAATTAAACGCACATCCCTGAATATTATTAACCTAATCGGCCTAGTTAAAACATTTGAATTGTTATACTGACAAAGGGATCTATTTTAACTCATTTATGTGATTTAGGAGAGGTAACAGCTACTATGATGATTTGAAATATCTATATCAAAAGAATAATAATTTGAGGGAGTAGTATTGAATAACCCTTTTTAATAATGCAATTCTGTCGTGAGAGAGAGAGGGAGCATAAGCATTCGTACGCGTAAACGTAAAAGACAGTGTACTGTATAAATCCATACCTCGTTAACTCCTAAGCTCCAATAATAATGGAACACGTGAAAACGCCATGGTTCAATTAACAAAATCAAAACGTACCGTCACATGCAACTACACGAATTCGTTTTCAGACAAAACGTGGACCAGCATCTCCTAGTAAGAGCGCGCCACGTGCACCATTCCAATCCAACGGTCAAAAAATTTGGCTAACTCGTTGATCACAACAAGCTCAACGTAAGTATCTAGCTACAACCACCATTTTCATAGTTGCAATATAAAAAGAGGCAGAGCTACGGACTCGAAAAACTTGGGGACTACTGGTGAAATTTTGAAGAGGAGGAAAGAGAGAAGAGAAATGGAGTGGAGAAATTTTTATTTAGATCTAATTTTGGTGCCTTCGGCTATTCTTTCTTCCCTCTTTTACCACGTATGGCTCTGGTACACCGTAAAGAGGCGGCCGGATCGGACCTACATTGCGATGAATGCCGCCGGCCAGAGCGCGTGGATCAACCACATCCTAACGGTAATTATACGTTATTAGCAATTGTTTTGTAACACTCCATGAAAACAGGATTTGATACCTCTATCAATATTAGTTGCCAGTACCTTTGTTCGAATACCCCAGAGTTTAATCTGTTTTCAACTTTGATACTTCTTTCCCAAAAAAAAAAAAACAATTTTAGGGTATTAAATTTGAATATTCTTTATATTTGGGGTATCAAAGTAAAAAAAATGGTGTAGAGTTAATGTGGGGCATTTAAGTGCAAAAAATCAAATTAGTTTTAAAAAAACGGATGAATAAAATTTGAAGAAAGACATTATAATTTTGTGCCCCACCCCAAAGTTTTACGATAATTTTTATGTTGGGTTTCATCTTATTGTTCATTTTATGGGAAAATTATAAACTAAATTTATAGGAGAAAGTATTCTGTAATTTGAATTGTTTGATCAAGTATTCAAATTACAGATTAGAAAATTATATTCATTATAATCAAATAGTTAACAAACTATTTGGATATCAACTTGTCAAACATAACTATGTGTTAGTGTTCGAGTAAATTCATATTTCTATTTTTATTCGAAGAATTTGAATTCAATCAGGGTTTTGAAAATCTTAGACAAATAAATATAAATGCCTAGTACTATTCTAATTAACCATAAGGTGTGTTTGACAACACTTTAAAATTAGGTCAAGTTTAAATCTGGTCCAAATTTTGAGTGACTGTTTAAATTAGTTAATTGTGAATGAGGAGATAGTTGTTGCATAACTAACTAAGTTTTTGTCAAAACTAGTCTGAGTTTAGTCCATTTTTCAGTGAATCGGCAAGCACGCCCGCCCATAGGTTGAGGACTTTGGGCCGTGTGATAATTAATCTTGCAAAAACTTCGGCCCTTTCTTTTGGTTGAAGAGTCTCTCTAAAAACCATCAAACAACTACAAGGACCTAATCAAAAATTTCCCCTTGCATTTGCAGGACAATGACAAGAAAAACGTCTTAGCAATCCAAACTCTCCGGAACAACATAATGGGCGCCACCCTCACGGCCACCACCTCTGTCCTCATATGTTGCGGCCTCCTCGCCTTCGCCAGCAAAGACTATGACGCCGACAAGCCAGACAAGCTCAAGATCGAATCCAAATGCTCCTTTCTTCTCCTAGCATTTCTCTCAGTGTTCCTATGCCAAACTCTCTCCATTGCTTGCTTGACTCAGGTGAACATCCTCATCAACATCTTGGCAGGCGACACAACTCCGGTCAGGAGGTATCGGGTGACCGAGTTGCTAGGGAAAGGGATCTTCCTCTGCAATGTGGGGAACAGAGTGTTCTTTAGTACATTGCCCCTCGTGCTTTGGATATTTGGTCCTGTTCTAGTGTTCGTGTGCTCGGTTGGGGTGGTGGTTGTTTTGTATAGCGTTGATGTTGTTGGTGACGAGAAGGGTGCGGTTGGAGCGGAGGGTGGTGGAATGGTTCAACCCTAAAATTAGAGGGGTTACGCCATTTTTTAAGTAGGTAATACTGCAAATATTAGTTTTTTTTTTTTTTCCTTTTTACTCGTGTTGCAGTGTTGTTATTCTTGATTGGGGAAACGAATAACCGTATATACCTTTATCCAATATTTGTCGATTGCAGCTAGTTGTTGATGTCTCGTTGATGCCGAATACGAATTCCTTGCTAATCATAGCAATTATCCATTGAGAAACAAGCAGAACTATACAAATACCCAAAAGGAAAGAAACTTGCTCGGTCTTGCTAGAGTATATGAATGTGATATCAAGAAAGCATAAGCAATATGTAGAGGAACATGAGGCCAAGAGAGATATCTATCATAAAAGGGTTTTTACATAACAACCACTTTAAGTTATGCTCAGCTTACCATCTTTTTTTTAATGTAAACCACATTAATTTATTTACATGTTTTCAATGTCACACCTTTCACACTATTCAACCTAAATTTTTTATTTTTAATACTTACTTT